AAAAGTCCACACATTTTGAAAAAAAAGTGTTCCTCTTATAATATTTTGCAAATAAATAATATTTCGTCATAAATATTGGTCAAAATGTATTCATCTATCTTTTTAGTAAAAAAAAAAAAATAACAGAAATTAGTTTAAACTAAATATAATAATTTAAAAAAAAATGTTTTCACATTTTTATTTTATTTTTTTATATTATTGGTTTTTTTTTTTTTTAAAACATACAGTCACCCTAGCAGTATAGTGTCGCCATAGTGACACTGTACTACTTGTGGGGGTGATGAAAATTTTTTTTTTTTTTTTTTTTTTACACTGATTGCTTTTACACTCATAAAGGCTGTAAAATCAATCATTTCTCCTTCTCTATGACTGCATTCTTGCAGCCATTGAGAAATACTGTGAGAGCTGTGATTGGCCATAGCTTGTCACATGGTACAAGGCTGTTGTGAATAGCCTTGCACCATGTGACCTCTGTGATCATTCACAGATTTCACAAGTAGTAAGCGATGATGTCAGGAAGTGACATCTTGCTTACTACTATTCATGTGATCACTGATTGGCCAATCAATGATCACATGATCAGGACCTCACGGAGGTCCCGTACAGTGATTGGCGTTCTGCTGTGTCCCCAGGGAGCGTGCACAGGCAGGGAATGTGGGAGGACGTTTATAAATGGCTACCCGCTCCTGCACTGCTCCCGTCCAGCTGTTTATGTACATGGGCCGGATGGGAAGTGGTTAAAGTGCCTTGCGAGAGATGAATTGAGTGCCTTCTTAAAAAAAAGCTACCTTGCAGTGTATAAAATCAACACTTTTTAGGCACAGTCCCAAAACAAGTGTGCTGTAAATGAGTGTCAAAAAGGTGTCAGGACTACTTAACTCTATACTGGTCCCAAATCAATGTCGAACCAATGTCCTGAGTCAATGTCAAACCACCAGCATGTCAGAGAACTATCATTTTCAAAAAAACAAGTTAAGCAATAGCAGCCTCCATTTAATCCCTTGTCCCCATGTCCCATTAAGCTTCCAGAAGGTAATTTGTTTTCACTAAAGTGTATCTATACCCTATGAATGACTTTCTTTTATTTGTACACTTTTGGTCTACTAAGTATACATTAAAAGTTTTTTGTTATTTTGCTCCATTTCCAAGTGCAAAAAAACCCAGAAAAAACAGATGATTTTGCCGGAAACCTTGTGAGCTGATAATTTCCAATTCCATCTTCCTGTGCACAAGGAGCGGTTATAGAGATGAGGAGGAAGTAGATCTAGGACTTTTTGTTTGTTTTTTATGTGTTTTGCCATTCCATGTGCTCCTTGCTGCATAGGCTAGTTATAGGTTGGGGTGGTTGTCATTTGTTTGTATAGGAGATGAGGAGAGGTCTTTGTAAAGCATCAGTAATGAAGTAGGCAGGGCTGACGACACATGCCTTGGAATTCAGAGCCAAATATAGACGTGTTTTCATGTCAAAAAGGAAGGTAGGGGAGAAGCACACTATATTTCTGGCATATATATAGCTATTTTTTCTTAAATTGCAGCATATTTAGAGGGATAAAACATACTTGTTTTGCAAAGATGTACAAAATACGTTTTCTATTTATTTTCCTTGTTATACGCTTAAAGCAGTATTGAGAAAAATCACTGTTTATGAAGTGAATACAAAATTTCTGTATGTTTAATTGAAGTTTGGCATTCCCTACAGGTACCCTCTAAAATACCTATCTGGGTATGTTTTTTATACACTGTACAACTTCTCTTTAAACCAAATTTCAAGACATTGAAGTGAAACATCATCACAGCTTTGCAAACAGTATTAAATTGTAGAAAAGCCTGGATGCAGAGCTAGGAGTAGGTTTGGTTTGCTTTTATGTTGACATCTGCTGTGCACATTCCGTAAATATGTTTAGCATCAGAAGCAATAAAATTGTCTGAACATGTGGCAAGCAGGAGAAGTAGTTTCTCAGTATCTGCTAGGCTTGTTTAATTCCAGTGGTATGAATGAGGTTACAAAAACTGGCAGTAGGTGACTTTAGGTTTGAAGAGATCCATGAAAAAACAATAAATGATAGCTATTCTCATGATTTTTTTAACTGAAAGGCAAGTATGTATATATATTGTATATAATGATGATAGATATATATATATATATTTATATATTGGAACAGAGCAAAGCGCTGTTACTATGGAGATGACCAGGAAAGCTACACAGTGTTTGCATGTCTGCTGACTGCTGGGCTTCAGAGCATAGATTTTGAGTGGAGAAAACTGCTTTTGCAACTTTCTCCGGATCTTGTTATTTCAAGATGAGGCTCTGTAGTTTGGAGATTACAAAGAGTTTTGGGCTGGATGGAATCTCCAACCCAGTGTGCGGATGTTGTAGACAACCAGCATGGTGTGTGCCCAGATGTACACATCCCCCATAACAATGGGCTGGTGTGAGCAGTAGGAGGTGGGAGTTGGTGCAGTTTGAAGATAGAGCCCTGTCAGGAGAGCTGGGAGCCCCTGTTGGAGACTACTGAGGGGGATTCTGGATCAAGGACTGGCAAAGTCTGGCCAGCTCTGATAGTCTGGGAGACCAGGAGAGGATCTAGGAGACTGAAGAAGCTGAGGAAGCCAGTGAGTCTTAGAGAAAATCCAGACGTTTCTGGTTGGTGCAAGCTGGAGAAACTCGGAAAACCCTATCTTGAGGCAGTGTAGGCCTTAACAGCAAGGCAATGTCACCTAGGCTGAGAAAGAGCCTGAATAGCAAGTGGTCTTGGAGACAAAAACCAGTAGAGGTGCTGCTGACCAAAGAGTCAGATGGTTTGGTATTTTTCATTTGTGTTTGCTGACTGCAGTTGAAACACCTATGTGAGAATCTTCGTTGGACTTTTGCTTAGTTTTTTTTCCTTTTTATTAAAAGTGGGCTACCAGGTCCTTAAGTATAATGCCTGTGTGATGGGGACACAACGTACAAAAAAAGCATCTACCACTGAGCTAAACATCCCCATATAAAAAAATAGAGTATATTACTACTCCTACTGATATAAATATTTGTTGTTTTTGGTAATATTATTATTATTAATAATAATAATGATAATAGAAAAACCTGCCTACAGCCTGACAGAAAAAGACTGTTCAGAGGTAGGGTAAGTGGTAATTTGAATACATTGATTTTGCTTTCAACAACATTTCATCTAAATTAGACTCTAATTTGGCCATGTGGTACTGCTTGGTGAAATAAACTTAAAGTGAAAGTGTTAGAAATGCTATCAAGATTTTTGCTGTCTGTGTTAAACATCATATAAAAAAAACTATGGACAGGATAGGGCTTTTTACCAGATTGCACTGTATAAACAAAAAATTTGGCTTTACATACTTTGTAACTTATTCTTTCTTTATAGACTCCTATTTATTTTACCTAATGGCAAAATTTCACAAAAAGTACCAATTTTTTGTCAAAATGTTGGCAAGGATAAAGCTCACAATTTCACTCATGTTTGCTCAGTAGTTTCTAAAATACAGAAAGGTTGCCCAGAGTGTTGATATATGTGCTGTAAGCCTGGGTAAGTGGAGAACCTACCTGGTAAGATGTCCAGAGGAATTAATTACTTTCAGGTGGTCAGATTGGTGCTAAGTAGAGGGAAGCTTACCTGGTTTAACGTAGTGAAAAAATGGGTAAGTCTACTGAGCATCAATACAAGAAGTGTTTCTGCACACTTTGCACTTGCATAAATCTAAATAACTTCCCGCAACTGCTTCATTCAGACACACATGCAATAGTTTGTAAGCTGACAATGAGGGCAGCATAAGCAGTCTTAGTCCTAAACTCAGTGGCCTGCATCAATTTAATAATATGATTTGAAAAAAATAATAAACATTTCATTGTTATACACGAATATGCATTTTTGGGGGTAAGAGGTGGGAAGTCAGACAGATGCAGCACCCAATTACATTGTACAGTGATACATTCATTTTCTATACAGTTTTTGTCACTCTCTGAAGTCTATAAGAACTGAAGAGCATTTTATTATTATTACACTTTTAAACGGAGCTGTTAAATGGTTGAACCTTCTTGCAAAGTAGTACAAATGTTATAATAACCAAGGGCAGAACTGCATAATGGAACATGAAATTAAAAGTCAAGTTCTGATCAGCTTTTATTATTTTTTTGTGAGAATAAATAAATCATTTACATTTTTTGTTACAAATTTAAAGGTAGTCTCTCATATGTAAGGCACGATAACAGTGTTAGAGGGCAGAGATTGCAGAAATCACCCTCACTTCTATACTTATGCTGCTATTGCAGCATAATCTGGTATAGGAAATATTTGTTTTGATCGATTGTTTAAGATCAGCTACATAGAAGTGCTTGACACTGTTTTTAGGTTGCTGATGATAATTCAACAAGGGTGTGCCCTAGTACATAATTTTTTTTTTATTATATTGGTACATTATTCAGGACAACTAACAAAATCTGATAGAACTTGTTTTGTCTACTCATTGTATGGTTGCATGTGCCTCAATTTTCTTAGGTGACAGATTCTGTTTAATTTAGAAATATTTTATATATATACCGTATTTTTCGCTCCATAAGACGCACCTGATCATAAGACGCACCTAGGTTTTAGAGGCGAAAAACAGGAAAAAAAAATTCTGAACCAATGGACTGCACACATAGTACAGGAGATGACCAGAGACTGCGGACACAGTACAGGGGATGACCAGAGACTGCGGTCATAGTACAGGAGATGACCAGAGACTGCGGACATAGTACAGGAGATGGCCAGCGACTGCGGACACAGTACAGGAGATGACCAGAGACTGCGGACACAGTACAGGGGATGACCAGAGACTGCGGACATAGTACAGGAGATGACCAGAGACTGCGGACATAGTACAGGATATGGCCAGAGACTGCGGACATAGTACAGGATATGGCCAGAGACTGCGGACACAGTACAGGAGATGACCAGAGACTGAGGACACAGTACAGGAGATGACCAGAGACTGAGGACACAGTACAGGAGATGACCAGAGACTGAGGACACAGTACAGGAGATGACCAGAGACTGCGGACACAGTACAGGAGATGACCAGAGACTGAGGACACAGTACAGGAGATGACCAGAGACTGAGGACACAGTACAGGAGATGACCAGAGACTGAGGACACAGTACAGGAGATGACCAGAGACTGAGGACATAGTACAGGAGATGACCAGAGACTGAGGACACAGTACAGGAGATGACCAGAGACTGCGGACACAGTACAGGAGATGACCAGAGACTGCGGACACAGTACAGGAGATGACCAGAGACTGCGGACACAGTACAGGAGATGACCAGAGACTGCGGACACAATACAGATGACCAGAGACTGTGGACATAGTACAGGGGATGACCAGAGACTGCGGACATAGTACAGGGGAAAATACCAGGGACACAGTACAGATGACCAGAGACTGCAGACAGTGCAGGGGATGACCAGAGGCTGCAGACAGTAAAGGAGATGACCAGAGACTGCTGACCTTTGGGGAGGGAGGGGGAGCGGGTACCTGAATTTGACAGGTACCCACTCCCACTTCCGCGGAGCTGTCCTTCTCTCTTCTTCCAGCACCGGCTTCTGTGACAGCCGGGTGCCCACTGTGCATGTGCGAGAAGCGCTGCGCTTTGTGAATGGCCCGGCGCCTTCTGGGACCTGTCATGTGTCCCAGAAGACACCGGACCATTCACAAAGCGAAGCACATGCGCAGTGGGCACCCGGCTGTCACAGAAGCCAGCGCGGGAAGACTGTGCAGCGCTGGAGCGAGGAACAGGTAAGGTCCTGCAAGAGAGAACAGCTGAGCGGCCGGCCCGGTATTCTGACACGGTGGTGGCAAAAATACCGGACCGGCCGCTTTATATTCGCTCCATAAGACGCACTGACATTTTCCCCCCTTTTTTTGGGGGAAAAAAGTGCGTCTTATGGAGCGAAAAAAATACGGTATATATATATACACACAGGTTAAACTAAAAAAATTAGAAAATCGTGCAAAAGTTCATTTATTTCAGTAATGCAATTTAAAAGGTAAAAATAATATATGAGATAGACTCATTACATGCAAAGCAAGATAGTTCAATCCGTGATTTGTCATAATTGTGATGACTATGGTTTACAGCTCATGAAAACCCCAAATCCACAATCTCAGAAAATTAGAATATTGTGAAAAGGTGCAATATTCTAGGCTCAAAGTGTCCCACTCTAATCAGCTAATTAAGCCATAACACCTGCAAAGGGTCCCTGAGTCTTTAAATGGTCTCTCAGTCTGGCTCAGTAGGAATCACAATCATGGGTAAGACTGCTGACCTTCCTCTTGTCAAGCCGCTCCTGAACAGCAAACAACGTCAGAAGTGTCTTACCTGGGCTAAAGAAAAACAGACCTGGTCTGTTGCCCAGTGGTCCAAAGTGCTCTTTTCTGATGAGATCAACTTTTGCATCTCATTTGGAAACCAAGGACCCAGAGTATGGAGGAAGAATGGAGAGGCACACACTGCAAGATGCTTGAAGTCCAGTGTGAAGTTTCCACAGTCTGTGTTGATTTGGTGAGCCATGTAATCTGCTGGTGTTGGTCCACTGTGCTTCATTAAGTCCAGGGTTAACGCAGCCGTCTACCAGGAGATTTTGGAGCACTTCATGCTTCCTTCCGCAGATGAGCTTTATGGGGATGCTAACTTCATTTTCCAGCAGGACTTGGCACCTGCCCACACTGCCAAAAGCACCAAAACCTGGTTCAATGACAGTGGATTTACTGTGCTTGATTGGCCAGCAAACTCGCCTGACCTGAACCCCATAGAGAATCTATGGGGCATTGCCAAGAGAAAGATGAGACTGAACAATGCAGAAGAGCTGAAGGCTGCTATTGAAGCATCCTGGTCTTCCATAACACCTCAGCAGTGCCACAGGCTGATAGCTTCCATACCACGCCACATTGAGGCAGTAATTTTTGCAAAAGGGGCCCAAACCAAGTACTGAGTACATATGCATGCTTATACTTTTCAGAGGTCTGATATTGTTCTATGTACAATCCTTGTTTTATTGATTGCATGTAATAGTCTAATTTTCTGAGATTGTGGATTTGGGGTTTTCATGAGCTGTAAGCCATAATCATCACAATTCTGACAAATCACGGCTTGAACTATCTTGCTTTGCATGTAATGAGTCTATCTCATATATTAGTTTCACCTTTTAAGTTGCATTACTGAAATAAATGAACTTTTGCATGATATTCAAATTTTTCGAGTTTCACCTGTCTATATACATACACAGAGCATCCGGAAAGTATTCACAGCGCTTAACTTTTGCCACATTTTGTTATGTTAAAGCCTTATTCCAAAATGGATTAAATTAATTTTTCCCTCAACATTCTACAAACAATAACCCATAATGATAATGTGAAAGAAGTTAGTTTTGAAATCTTTGCAATGTATTAAAAATAAAAAACAAAACAAAAAATCACATGTACATAAGTATTCACACAGTCTTTGCTCAATACTTTGTTGAAGCACCTTTAGCACCAATTACAGCCTCAAGTCTTTTTGAGTATGATGCTACAAGCTTGGCACACCTATTTGTGGCCAATTTCTCACATTGTTCTTTGCAGTACCTCTCAAGCTCCATCAGGTTGGATGGGGAGGGTCGGTGCACAGCCATTTTCAGATCTCTCCAGTGATGTCTGATCGGGTTCAAGTCTGGGCTGCGGCTGGGCCACTCCAGGACATTCACAGAGTTGGCCCGTAGTCACTACTTTGTTATGAGGGCTGTGTGCTTAGTGTCATTGTCCTGTTGAAAGATGAAACCGGCGCCCCAGTCTAATGTCCAGAGCGCTTTGGAACAGGTTTCATCAAGGATGTCTGTGTACATTGCTGCATTCATCTTTCCTCAATCCTGACTAGTCTCCCATTTCCTGCCACTGAAAAACATCCCCACAGCATGATGCTGCCACCACCATGCTTCACTGTAGGGATAGTATTGGCCAGGTGGTGAGCAGTGCCTGGTATTCTCCAGACATGACGCTTGGCATTTAGGCCAAAGAGTTCAATCTCTGTTTCATCAGACCAGAGATATTTTTTTCTCATGGTCTGAGAGTCCCTCAGGTGCCTTTTGGCAAGCTCCAGGCGAGCTGCCATTTGCCTTTTACTGAGGAGTGGCTTCTGTCTGGCCACTCTACCATACAGGCCTGATTGGTGGGAGTGCTGCAGAGATGGTTGTTCTTCTGGAAAGTTCTCCTCTCTACAGAGAAATGCTGGAGCTCTTTCAGAGTGACCATTGGGTGCTTGGTTACCTCCCTGGCTAAGGCCCTTCTCCCTCGATTGCTCATTTTGGCCAAGTGGCCCACTCTAGGAAGATACCTGGTGGTTCTAAACTTTTTCCATTTACGGATGATGGAGGCCACTGTGCTCATTGGGACCTTCAATGCTGCAGAAATTTTTCTGTACCCTTCCCCAGATCTGTGGCTTGATACAATCCTATCTCGGAGGTCTACGAACAATTCCTTGGACTTCATGGCTTGATTTGTGCTCTGACATGCACTGTTAACTGTGGGACCTTATATAGACAGGTTTATGGCTTTCCTAATAATGTCCAATCAACTGAATTCCCCACAGGTGGACTCAATTCACGATGGGAAAAATGGGAAAAATCGGGATTGAAAGAGAAATATAGAAAACTCTAAACTAGGAAGTTATTCGAAGTTATTGGGCCTAGAGAGACTGGAGATCTTGCAGAGGGGAGGGAGGGGGGAAGGGGGGAAATGGTGGGTTGGGAGGGAAGGGAAATAAAAGAGGTAAATAGAAGGGACAGAGTAGAAATGTATTGATATTTATATGTATTGTGTCTCTTCTTATGGAAATTTTGTAATGATGTGAAAAATTAATAAATATTTAAATTAAAAAAAAAAAAAAAAAAGGTGGACTCAAATCAAGTTGTGGAAACATCTCAAGGATGATCAGTGGGAACAGGATGCACCAGAGCTCAATATTGAGTGTCATGGCAAAGGGTGTGAATACTTATGTACATGTGTTTTTTTTTTATTTTTTATTTTTAATATATTGCAAAGATTTTAAAACAAACTTCTTTCATGTTGTCATTATGGGGTATTGTTTGTAGAATGTTGAGGAAAAAAATTAATTTAATCCATTTTGGAATAAGGCTGTAACATAACAAAATGTGGCAAACGTTAAGCGCTGTGAATACTTTCTGGATGTGCTGTATATTCATCCATAGAGGTGATATGATCTTTGCATGTTTTGTGTTAAGGAAGTTCTTCATGCCATACTGACACATTTCTATCACATTCCAGGTGTATAAACAGCGGATCTAACCATCACTGCTTTACCATCACATATTCCTCTGTCTTGTCACAAAGTGATAACACATTTCACAGTGTAAACTCCTGTAAAACACAGAAGCAAATAGTTTCACTGTTTTACTTTACTGTGGAAAAATGAAGTAAAACTTTGGTGTCACTGACAGCTGAGATGTCTTAGCCCACTAAAAGTGAGCAAAAAGATAAATGTATGATTTAAACAGACCTAAACTGCATGGGCAATATTTAATCACATAGTGCTAAACAATATGAGTTCCTTCCTTTTCAATCAATATAATAATGGAGAGTAGAGCCAGTAATACAATAAATAAAATGGTACAAAGACTGGCACATAGTGTTATTTATGAGAGAGAGTGGGCCCTGCCTGTATGATCTTCTAATCTAGAGGGAAGTAGGATAGAAGAAAAGTTAAGGTAAACTTTGTAGACAGATAGGGAAGGCATGATGGATTAGTGACTTAACAGGGTACTTACTTTTAAGGGTTTCAAGTATCTGACAGTATTTAGCAATTGCATAAAAGAGGAGAGGCACAAAAGAAGTTCTGCTAATCTAGACTAGTAAGCAAACATGAGAGAGAACAGTGTGCAACATGTCTTTTTCGTGATCATACGAAATGATAAACCAACAAAAGCTATAATGATGCAACAGTGGAACAGTTACAGCTGATCAGCAAGGGTGTAATATAGCAATGAAAATATGGTACAGTTGCAATTAAACCAGCGAGAATATCAGAATTTAGATTTATTGTGTAATTTATTAATGTGTACTTAAGCCCAAAGCCACAAATTCTATATATTACAGCTTACCAGTCATATGATGTGGTGGCTGCACTAAGTTCCACTTTTCAAGCATTTCAAGCAAGAACATTTTCAACAAGTACAGAAAACACCTGTTGATTCTGCCAGAAATGCAGTATCCTTGTCAACTGTTGTAAGCTTGAAAGGAAAAAAACTTGCCTTTATTGTGTAAAGTAGTAGTCACATCAATCCACCATTTAATGGAAATGATTAAAGACACACATGCTGTATTCCAGCTGCAAACAAATGGCCACTGCCCCAATGAATATTTGGCCTTCACAGCAAGAAGCACATGGAAGGACGACGCATATCAAACAAAAAAAAAGAAAAATTCCCAGCTCAACTTACCAACCAGCCTACTACCAACTGAATTGTCCTGTCTAACAGTTTGCATTAAAAACAGGGATTTAGTTTATGCAAATTTGCAAATACATGTATAAGCTGCATAGCCTCTTCACAGCACCCCATTATTCTACAGTTCCTAGCTCTCTTCCATGTGCTCCTTGCTGTGAAGGCCAGTTATGGATTGGGACAGTGGTCATTTGTTTGTACTGTTGACTTGTT